CTGAACACTCCTTCGCGGATGGCTTGCTCCCGAATTGCGTCTGAAAAATGACCCCTAGCTAGGCGATCTCGCCCGTCGTCTGTCAATTCTGGATAGGCGAGTGCCGACAGGTCACGTATTGATTGTCCCAACTCTTGCAAAGTTTCCTTATCTCCTTGACGCCTGTGGCGAAGTTCCACTAGGTGATTTTCCGCCAGTTGTCCGGGGCCAAATCGCTTTTCAAGGAGACCCATCAGCTCAGTATAGGTAACGTCTTTGCCGCTGGCAGCGAGGTTCCCAAGCACTTTCACTGCTTGACTATTGGTCCAAGCATTTGCCAGTTTACACGCCTTGAAGTGTTGCTTATACTCCCTCCAAGGAGTCTTCCCGTTGAATCGGTCTGGTAGGATGTTCGGCCGATTACTAGTACTAGTGCTCGACTCGCAGCTGCCCTTCTCCTTCGTTGTGGTTTTCTCCCCGACGCCAAATGGATCCAGCTCGCCCCCTTCGAACTTGGCGCTATGATTCACACGCAGGGAGACATCTTCTATTGCACTCGAGGGCGGAACTTCACTGTCACATCTGGAAGGTGTCCATCCTACAAGGTTGCTGGTTTCAGCCGTAGGCGTCGATGAAGCTGGTTGCGTAGGCACTGGGATAGGTGGAGGTGCGAATGTGTTAAATTTCCTTCTAGGTTTTGGAGTAGGTGGAATTCTTGACCGCAGGGCAGGCGCTGACATCACCGAACCCCGATGTCCAATGTTGAGTATCTCGAGTAGTTCTTGTACTTGAAGTTGTAACCGGTTGTTTTCAGCCTTGAGTTTCTCTCTCTCGTGGGTCGCTCGCTGGAGATCGCTGTCAATCTGGTCGACCTCCGACAAATCGCCATCAAAATCAATGAGGCTGACAGCCATGACGCCTAGGTAGGTGAAGTACTCCTTCACACTCTATCGATGATTGATGGTGACTGATGTCACTGCAACGCCAATCCCACTTCTGACACCAAATTTGTAACGGTCCGCCGACCCTTCGTCCCTGCCTTCAGCCGGGAGATGCCGCCGGACGGACGCTGACAGGATTAGGCTTTCCCGATGAGCGGTTACCGGGAAACCCGGGACGTTACTTCGTTTGGAGGAAGTATACCCACAGGCATTGCAGTGGACCAGCGATACTCGCACTCAATCACTCTCACACTATTAGGCCCAATAACTCACAGGAGACAATGATTAAGTCACAGTCCTCTTTATATAACGTAACAATGGTGTTTTATTGTGTGCGCCTTGACAGGCGACTCCTATATAGGCGTCTATCGCTAACTCTAACGTGGACACAATGTTGGCTGCTTATTCTAACTCTTCCTGGCCAGTTAACTCACCAACTAGTGATGTAAAGGCAGCCCGTCCGGTTGGTCCCTCTTCTAGATTAACTCGCTAGCGGATAATCAATCGCAGCACTGTCAGACCTGCATGAAACTGGCTGACGACTCACCCAAGAAATAACTCGTGTCATGCGCTTCTGCTTGTGACTGACAGAGTGAGTGAGTGAGTGAGTATCGCGCGCGCGGCTAGGCTGACGCACGCTTTTATACCCGCGGGCAGCGCGTGCATACAGTAGCAGCGCGGAGACCACCGACGCGGGCACCAGTACCCTAGACTGGCACTATGTCCAATTTTTCGTTACATTATTTTTAACAACTTTAAGTTGTGTATTCATGACATTTACATTGGCTGCTGGCTGTTGGTTGCCGGTAGATGGCAAATCACTTTGCTCCAGGGGGTCAGCGAGGTGAACAGTCTCCAATGCCCTGTTGCCTGAAACAAAAAGGTGAGGCAAAAATGAAAAAAAGAAATGAACATCAGTCTTTAAATTAAAATCATTCAAATCAAAATTAGATTCTTCCGAGGTTCAAGGAATGAGGCAAGCCATAAGTTGTCCTCTCAAGCACATAACATTTTAAGGAGTTTGAAGACTTCTAAAAATAGGCGCAGATCCAGATTGGGGGTTTTGGGGGGTCAACCCCCCCCCCCAGCTCTGTCCAAAAAAAATAAATAATACGAATTCCTAAAAAATAAGTCGAACCCCCCCCCCCCGGGCCTGCTGTGACACCCCCAAAAAATTATACTAGTATAATGTCTGCCTGTTACAAATACGGTACACCATTCTGTTATCTAGTGTTAATAATCGTCGAATTTGAACAGCACCCCCTATTGAAATATGGTACCAACCCCTCCCCCCGTTTTTTTATTTTACGGAGGCAAAGTGTTCGGAGAAAAAAACCTGTGTACATGTTCAGATTTTTTAGCTGATAACCCCCCCCCCTGCAAAAAATTCCTGGATCCGCCCCTGAAGAAAAATTGTTTGTTCCTTGAATGCCACTACTAGAGGGCGGTGTTGTTGCAGGACGACTACTCGAAAGGAGAGGACGATTTTGTTGTAGATATTTCCCACATCTTGTGAACAAAGTCCAAAAGTGGGCATCTTCATAAAACGGCCTGGTTGTGAAAGTGTTTAAAAGGTCACATTTACAATTATACCTCACTGTCGACCAGATTGTATTCCGATGGAAGGCCTCATATCTAACAATCAAATTGGAGCAGCTAGATTACATTTTATATTGGAAACTAAGAAAACAATTTAGAGAATTAATTCAAGAAAGAAGCAAACTTCCATCCCGTCACACCAAAACCAAACGTCAAGCAGTGATCAGAGTGGTGCGGCATAGGAAGAGAATTGTGCAGTTTGTGATAAAAGCATGATACGTTGCATGTTGATTCTTTATGCCATGACAACAGTTTCTAGATATGGAGGCATTTCATATCTGACCCTGGTGACCTCTGAGCGGTCAATGTCCTTTGAATACTCTATTTATACCTATTGTTCTTGAAAATATCACTCTCATATGATCTAAGGCTAAGTATAATACAATGTAAATATCGACCAAATGCAAAAAAGATTCTCAATTGACCTTTGATGACCTTCCAGAAGTCAATGACCTTTGTATTAACTGGACTAACTCTATTTGTAGTTATTTATACAACATACCCTTTAAATCCATTTTTTCAAGCCCAAAGTCATTGTGTTAAGTGGCTCATGTTATGAAAATAATTTTAATAGGTAGGAATCTCATATCTGACCTCTGATGGCCTTCAAGGGGTCAATGAACTTTGCATATCTTATTTTTAGATTTTAAGAGGATTAACTATTCAAAACACCAATTTTCTATTACCAATATCTACATTTTGGGTGTTCTTGCCATGATATAAATTTTCAGATATGTAACATTTCATATTTGACCTCTGAAAACCTTTGCGAGGTCAATGAACTTTGTGTACTCTGATTGCCGTTATTAATCATGTTTAAACTTCAAAATGCCATTTTTAATGACCAAGGTCTAATCGGAGCAAAAGGAGTGTATTTTAATAATTATTCTACAACGTGACGTGAAGTCAGACCCCAAAGAATTTTTGTGCATGACCTCTGATCTCAATTTTCCTATTGATAACGGCAGACGCAAACATGAACGAATATAAGCGACTTATCGGAAAAGCATCACTCTCCTACAGTGACCATTGGTTTCGGTAAAAAAGGTTACAAACGTGGCTATCAGAGTCCATCTGGATACAGCAGGGTGTAATAAGCACAAGAGTGAATATTGCTTGACATATGGTACATTTTCCATTACTAAACAGACCCACAGATTTCTACTCAAGGAGAAACGAAGTCATAGGTCACCTCAAAATTGTTTGTCGTGTCTGAATTTATAACATACCTGTAAATTAATAGGTGCAATACCGTTCTTTGCACTATTGACGCTTGGGTTTTTGAGAAAATATATGGCGTTTTGGCGAAAAGATATGATAAATAACGGCAACTAAGATATGCAAAGTTAAATGACCTTTCCAAGGGTATCTTTACGTCAAATAAGATGTCCCCACATCTAAAAAATATTTTCATGGTACCAAGAGTCAAGCTTTAGATTCGGGGTCATGAAAAAGTGGCATTTACAATTATTAACATGCGAAGTGTCATGCTTTTATCACAATTCGCACAATACTTCAGCATTTCGTGGCTATGCCGCACCACTATTCCGTTTCAGCTTGGATAAGAAAATCCGGCCACCCTGACGTACGAACAGCTTGGGCATTCAGGCACTAAGCTTACTTTACCTGATGGTCCTACGACTGTGTTCAAGACAGCACTCACAGACACCGTGTGCCTGTCGGTTCCAGTCCGTGCGTAGTGAACTACAGGCCTGTAATATGTTAACAATATATAGTTATACAAATGAAGTTTGCATACCATCGATGCTATTATAATTATTTGTTCACCGCCTAAATCCTGCAGATTTGCATAGGACAGCTGCATATATGTCTTTAGAATCTAAAGTGTACTTATTTTTTACTGTCTTTATCACTCAACCTTTTTTTTGCATGTTAAGGGTACTCATTTTTACTGTCTTCATCGTTTACATTTTTTTCGTTTTCGTTAATACATGTCAAACTTATTTTGTGATTATGCTCTTTAATCCATTGTCTTTATTAGCACTTTTGTCTATGTCTTTTTCATAAACATATTGATATTGTTCAAGTTGTATACCCGTTCATGTCTCTTTTATTGAATGATTATATCTGCTTGTTTTTGTCTCATTGCTTATATTCTTTGTAATCTTTTGTCCAGGGCCCCGTGGAAAACTACATTATATATGAATGGGCTACCCTTATGAAAGATCACAAATACACTCTAAAAACTGTGTTTAGCAATTAAACACAATCAAACAATCTAAACATGTCCAATTCCTAAACACCATCAAATTCGTGTATAATTCCTAAACAGACAGTATTTATATCCTAAACATCAACACCCAAATTCACTTTCTAAACATTATTGCGCGATCCCGTTGTGCTGATTGGCTCCCGGTAGTCATGTGACATGTGCGCCGCAAAACGGCAAAAAGTGATGCTTCACCGACGCCATCTTGTTTGAGCGCAGCCTAGCCAGCGAGGGTCATCGGTGCCTCCCCGATGTCGATCAACGGAATGCATAACATGGAAACAATTCTGCAGGGGATTTTACCCCCTCAAATACTGCAAACCTTAGAGGGTAAGTTTTAAATCATTATGTGTGCACAACAGACGATATTGTTCCGTTTTGGGGCGAGGAAGAAAGTTTTATACCACTCACTGCCGGACGGTTGAACCGGCCTGCTGCATGCATTCATGCGGTACGGTAATGACGGTAGGCCTAGCGTATGCGGTATACACCGCGGAAGCGTTTTGAGTAGGCCGGCTAAGGTTACAGGCATGCATACCGGTCGGAGTTTGTGTAGTTCAGGACACCACCGGTTTTTTGTTATTCTTCAGAAAGTTTTGTCTCTGCCCCAAAGCATGCAAAGTCTGCAACCTCACGAAACGTTCTTCTACTTCTAGTTCTACTAGGCTAGCCCCAATAATGTGGCCAATTTACTGGACGTACATGACTATAGTCTAGGCCTAGCCTAGTCCGAGTATCTTGGACCCAACTTATTGCCTTTTTTAACATTTGGACATGGTCTGGCGATAGTAGGGTCCAAGCTAATACCGCGAGCTGGACAACACCGTCCCAAAAACCAACATTTTCCAACAAAAAACATCAGATTTCACCTTCAAAACGGCCTCCAAATTACTAGATAGGCCCTATGCCACCTGAAGTACAAGTAGACATCGATGATTGAGATGGTTGTACTGAAGTTTACTTACGATCCGGAAAAAAGTGAAATTTTCCGTTCATTTCGGAGAGCTCCCCTCGCGATCTTGAACACGTTAAATTTCCGATCGTGTTTAATGTTTGAACGACGCGATTTTCTTCTTCATGCCCAGCGTACATTCAATGGTCCCCGTATCCCGAGTGCGATTCCGTTACCGAGCGCGCGCGATGCATCGATTATGATAATGAGTAGACTGGATCACGTTTGTAAACACATGTGCATTTCAAACGATAATAGGGAGTCGGGAACTAGCGCAGCTTTTATCGCGGATACCAGTTCAAGCTGGTTCCTGATTCCCTTTTACAGTTCGAAATGCACATGTATGTGTTTACAAATGTGACTCATTATCATAATCGACGCACTTCATATCCTGGACTCCCTCCGTAACGTAGGGAGGAAAGGGTGTCCACCTGGGCTAAGTCTAGGCCTAGCCCTAGGCCTACCTCTGTAAATAAAGGCCACACTTCCACCAGGCACCATTTCACATTTAGGGTTAGTTTGTAGGCATAGTTTATTTTTGCATAAAGAAGCATACTCACCCTCTTTCTAGGCTAATGCGCTTTCAAATGCTTCCCCCACCCTAGCCCCACTAGTGTGGCCGCGGTATGCTGCGTTGAACCTCTGGCCACACACCAGGGTATTGCACACTCCTGAGGAGGTTCTCAAAAATATTACGCAAATTTTCTTACATTGTTGTATTTTATGATGTCTCAGCTTTCACTTCTGAGATGCTTTGGTGTAATAATATCTAATTTTTCCAATATGCACGCAAAAGTCGTCTGTTAATGGCAGCCATTTTGAATGTACAAAACGATACCCCAAAGCTGTAACGTCGCGCTTATGCAAATCGATCTTGTCGGATCAGGCCATCAGGCGTGCGGGTGGCGTCAGACGGGCTAATCATGAGACCATGTGATAAACACTGCTAATTATTTGGAATTGTACATCTATCTGGACATGTGGAGTGTCCGGAGCGTCAGTGCGATACCAAATTATCCGCAGCAATTATCACGTGGCCTCGTGATGCCATCGCATCACAACTCGCGCGCCTGTTGAGCAAGAAGATGATTTGCATAAGCGCGACGTCACAGCTTTGGGGTCATCGCTTCGTACATTCAAAATGGCTGCCATCAACAGACGATTTTCGCGTGCATATGGGCTCCAGAAATATTTTAAAAAAATTCGGAAAATTGGATATTATTACACCTAAGCATCTCAGAAGTGAAAGCTAAAACATCATAAAATACATGTAAGAAAATGTGCGTAATGTTTTTGAGAACCTCCTCAGTAGTGTGCAATACCCTGGTGTGTGGCTAGAGGTTCAGCGCAGCTACCTCGGCCACACTAGTGGGGCTACCCACACCACTCCCACCCCGCGCTGCCCAATGTCTGATGTCAGGATTTGGTCACGTTTTTCATGCCCCAGGGTGGGGATTTTGGTCACTCAAATTTCACTGTTAACGTTGGCGTATTAATGGAATTAAAGGCAGTCACTTATTGTCACTTCAATTTTGCCCGAGGGGTGGGGATTTTGTCACTTCAAAAGTGACAATCCCTACGTCTTGGGTGGGGCAGCCCGAGAGGGGAGAGGTGGGGGAAACAATTGATAGGCGCATAATCAGAAAGTGCTGCCTTTATCAGATGTCTAATTTTTGTGAAATTTCATGTTGAAAAATTGCAGCACTGAATTAAATTATTATTATTTGTGCTGGTTTTAAAATGTCAGGTTGGGTCGCGGACATTTAAAAAAAAAGAATACGAACAGTATGCACGTCTTTTTGCTGAATTGTGTATTAATTCCTTGTTTATTTTTGTAGATCTCACTGAGTTAATCTTTTCCGGTTCAATAGGTTAAAAACAAAATTCCAACTTTTTCCCAAGAGGTATGTGGAGTTCAGTCCATGAAAAATAGGTTGTTTGCAACTAGCCCGACTGCATCTGACCGTACAGTACTATCGCAAGCTCTGTAGTACAGCCAGACCGCCAACGCTCCCCTTAACGCTGAACTCTAATGTAGCGACTTTGCTACCAATTTTGATCAAAATTATATATCTTCTCATCCAGGACAAAAATTTCCAAAGTTAAGGTTCCTAGTCAGAGAGGAACTCATACCTTTTCGAAAAAACGTTCTTTGGTCCCAATATTTTCATCCATCTATCTGGCCAAAAGACGACTTTCAGTCATCATCTTCCACAAATATCGTTCCCGAAAATGTCCTTCATGCGATTTCAAAATGGCGGCCGCGTTGTAATGTATGCATTATGCCGACGTGCTAGGGCATTGCAGTTTATGATGTTTGTCGGGCGTGTGGCGCGGCTGGCCTATGGCCATACAAACATGAGGTCATGAACTGAATAATGCATATTCATAGTACTGTACAGGAATGTACAATTTCCATTGCGTTTGTTTTGCAAATACATGTACATGTACAAGTCCAATATTTGCTATCATTGGTTCATCACGGGCTCTGTGCGCCAATGAAAGAGGGCGTGTTTTTTACCACTTTTGAGAGCCACTTGAGAAGAACTCACAACTTTCTGAATGTGCAAATTTAGTAAATAGCCACCGTGTCTCCGCATGAGCGAATACGTTCGAATCAACTTGCAATGGTACAATTGTACAGATGTACATGTACACTGAGCCTAGCACTAATGTGTACGCTAGTGTGTACGCTAGTGCAATTGGACGCAGAATGTTCATGGTGTGTGGGATATTGTTTCCGTGTAACGTTTTATTTTTATTATTGCACTTTTGTAAATGTACTTTAAAAATAAAATAGGCCACGCATGAACTTCATCATCGCACATATACGCAAAGATCCTCAGAATCACAGTTTTTCAATTGTTTTCATAGGCTTTAACTCTTTGTAGATTTGATGTTTCCAAATAATTCCTGTAGCTGATGGAGACAGCCCTGAAGAGCTCTTGAAAGCCGATCTGCTCTCTGAACTGCAGAAGGACAAGCCTGACAAGGCCAAAATTGGACATCTCCAAAAACTGACCTTTAACTTGCGCAAGAGGGAGAAACCAACTTTTCATGACTATCCCTTCCTCTTGGAGGAAAAGTTTGTAAGTTTACACCTTGTTTAACTTTTAACTGCAAGGGAACTGCAAGGGATTTAGAATTTCATTATAAATATAAGACTAATTAAATTATTATTTCCACATTTGATTGAATGTTGTATTTCAAAAAAAAAAATTTGCTTTATGCCGTAAGAGGATAATTTCAAGTATTAAAACATACATTTTGAGTTGGAAGAAAGGCACAACTTTATCCCACTTGGAAATGAAGAAAATGCTATTAAATTTCATGACTTGCTAACTGACATTTTGCTTGTTATGCATGAGTATTTATGGCCACCCATAATAACTCATTTACTACAACCTGTATTTCAAGTTGTATAATCAATCTGACATGATGTAATTTGTCATAAGCACACATTGTACAGAATGTATTGGGTTTATGTTAGTGCGTTTGTAAACATTTTCTTTTTTGTATGTATTGTATGCAGATAAAGAGGGAATTCTTCCTAAGGCAACCAGAAGTGTCAGAGGCTAGCTTACAGCAAAACTGGACCAGTCTAATCAACATGGTAACGGAGTGCACCAAGCAGGATAGATTTGAGGTAAGTCTTACATGTACTTAAAAAAAACTTACACTCAGTGGATTTGAAGACTAGATAATTCATCATCATTGAAGGTGCTACATGTACTATTGAACTTTGATAGATCTTGGGATGTGTTGTCGCAGGTTATTTTTTATTTAAAGAAATCTAGAGATGTGCTGTTGCAGGATATTTGTAATCTAAAATAAATCTTCGGATTTTTTACTAAAAAATATTGATAATTGATGGCAATATGTTGGCTTAAATACAAGCAGGCACGGTTTTCAAAGAATTTTAATGATTAATAACAAAATCAGGAAAGGCTGACTCGGATTTCAAGGGCAAATTGATTACTGAGGTGTTGCCTATATTATCGATTGTTTTGTAAATAGGGGTGCAACAGTCTGCCGTTATCATTGACTTATTGTCACATCAACTCTGCAAGGCACCCGGCACTCCTCTAATGCCCAATTTTTTCTTTAATTGATAATTGAAGTAAATCTCGGAACGCTTCTTTTACTTTAAGAACACCGAGGGTGAAATCGGACTACTTAAATACGTAGACACCAAGATTGCCATAACCAAGAGGGTCAAGAAACTTCAACCAGCAATATCGGTGGAAAAAGTAAGTGCAAACTTTTCTTTTGTTGTCTTATATTTTGCCTGAGAAATTATCCAATAAATAAATACATACATGCTTTACATTAACTTGCCCCTGAGAGTGCACAAGCACATACATGATAATGGTTGCTGATAGCCCATTATGCTGTATGTCTTGTAGCACCTGCACTATATTGTATTACAGAATATTTACGTGTAAGAAACAATGAAACCACATAGTACTGGGGTGGTTGGGGACGTGTCGGTGAGTAATAGGCAGGGGTAGTTTTGTGTGCTACAGTGTCTGGTGAAGGGTTCCCTCAGCAGTGTGTAGTAAACCTTATTTGTTTACTGTGCATAGAGAGAAATGTGTTTGTGACAGTGTTTGACTGGTCAACATTTTCAAATAGTTAATCAAATGTCTTTTGTCAGGGTAGGTATTCTCTAATATAACATTTAGACAAATGCTAGTAGTTGGCATGCGCAGAGGTCCTTATGATTATAATTTAATTCTATGGGTTACTCGATGCATGAACACACTATGATTATTGATGTCATACCATGATCTCTATGGGTGATGCCACAAAAGAACAAAAAAGTAATTTGTGTGGGTATAGGGTCCTATGAAATAATACGATTAGTTCAAGTTTGACTTGCATTACACGTTGTGCACACAATCAGTGCGCTGTATGTAAATGAGATTCCAACTGCGACATCTACAAGTCTATAATTTACCTGTGTGCAACCATCGGTCCCTAACTAGCTTACTTCTGTACACATGGTAATTGATTCTTTCGTTTATCTCCCTGTTTCTCTTTATAACCAGGCCACGTACATTCCCACGTCTGTAGCTAGCGAGGCACCCCGCCTAGTCATCATATCACATGAAGACGATCATGAGCTGTCCAATGGGTTCCTTCTACATGATGGTAATGTCGTAGAGATGAGGGACACAAAAAATGTGATGGAGATGGTCCTGTTCTTGTCCCAAGCATACTATGCCTGGGACCTTCAGTATCCAATACAGTACCAGGTTCTTGGTTTCCTGCAACTGTTTTTGCTCAAAGACAGACTGTCTCCATTTGAGCGGTCTTGCAGTTTCTTCAAATTTGAGAAAAGATTGCGGTCCCTGCAACATGTTGAATAAGCACATCAAAACAACATAAAAGTTGAATACTTCCAAAAATGTTAAATAACTTTGCTATGTTCACTTAGGAGTTTTAGAATGTGAAAACTGTTGACGTCATGTTCATGTCATCAACAATTCCATTTTTAAAAACATGTATAAGGGAAGTTCCTATTGTCATGAAAATTGGTGGGAAGCTAGATTGTTGAAAAAAGTCCTGCTTTTGACCCTAAAACTCTGTTGTTTACCAATGAAATTAAACCAAATTTCAGATCATGTCAACAAGGCATGACAAATTTTATGGGGCAATTTTTATCAGCTTTGTGCAAGAGGGTGAGATTTATACGCCATGCGCCAAAAAAAATAATCACTATTATAATCTGCCAATTTCGACTTGGCGTCCTCCATTTTCGATATAGAGCTGGAGACGGTGGCAAGGAATGCCGTATTACCCCTGATGTCATTGCATACGTTCGGTTGGCGCAACATGCAATCGTAGAGTTGTGCAATGACATCAGGAGTGATCCTGCATTCCTTCACAGAAGCTGTCAGCAGCAGCATGCCCCTTCTGCCACCGTTTCCAACACAGTATCAATTTTCTGAAGTGAGTTTTTTTTTTCGTATGGCGTATAATTCTCACCCTCTTGCACAAAACTGATGAAACTTGCTCCATAAAATGTGTCATGCTTTTTTTACAAAATCTGAAATTTTGGTTTAATTCCATTGGCAAACAAAAAAGTTATTTAGGATGATGAGTAGCCTTTTTGACATGTAGTACGTGTATTAATATGCAAAGTGTAACTGAAATTATTATTTTAAAGAGCCCATGTGCAATGTAATTTTACATGCAATCCTTGAAAATGCATGTGTGCCATTTAATCTTATTTTCAATTTTCATTTGCCATTTTACCTGATTTTTGGTGCCTTTTATGTTTTTATGCCATTGAGAATATTCATGAGCAAAAGATGTCATTTGAGGCAGAAACCACTGATGTGTTACGGCTATTTCAGCACAAAAAGGCACCAGATTTTGGGACATTTTGTCGCTGTAAAATGTTCTCTTTTTTCACGGATTTGTTGTGTCAGTTCATGGCCTGTAGGAAATGACGTCATTTGAACGAGACCTATATTGGCAGGATGTTGTATTGACGGTGCTCTTATCAGGGTTCGACTGTACTTTTTTTTAATGATTATAAAGGTGCACTTTTTAATAAAATCAACTCAAATGGGATGTCAAGCATTCAATGAAGAAGAGCATGGTGTCACAAGATGTGTTCCTCAGGAAAAAGAAACATTTTATGGACACTAAAAGGTGGAAATTGTGCATTGCTAAAAGCTAAATACAAAATTTGTATATTAAAAAATGATATGAAATATGAGCTATTTGAATTAAAAGCATAAATTAATTGATTTTTTTCTAAAATTAAATTCATTTAATTTTCTTTAAATGCTAAATGAATTTCAAACAAAATTATGAAAATGTTGGACATTAAAGTTTGTTAAAGTTTGTTCAAAATGTCTTAGAATAAGTTAAAAAGTTGTAAAATAAAAAAAAAGTGTATTGAAAACGAATCAGTGAATTTTCAGTTTCCTTTTGTGAAGTGTTGTGTTTATTTTCTAAACACTATCATGTTTAATTTCTAAACACAGTAATGTTTAATTTCTAAACACCATAATGTTCATTTCTAAACAACAAATGTTTAATATCTAAACACCAAATGTTTAATATCTAAACACCAAGTGTTTTGGTGCTAAACACTGCAAGTGTTATCGATGGGACATGTTTACAAACTGATAGCAAAAAAGTGTTTAGAAAAACGTTTAGAGTCTAAACACAGTTTTTGCAGTGTAAATGTTATAGCAACCTTACAGAGTACATTTTGTTTAAAATTAAATTTAAACTTACATGTCCTTTCTTCAGAGGGGGCGCCCTTCGCAGGGGGCTAATAGTCTTTTCAAGCAGATTTAGTAGTAATTATCTTACAACACAATACTAAGGTTTGCGCCAGATTTCATGAGATCATCGATCTTTGATATTTAATGGTTCTGAGAAAACACACAGTCACACTTTTTTCCACGGTTTCCTTCGTCTTTACGTTTAAGGAAGGAGTCGTTTGCAACATTGAGTTATCGGTAAGAACTGACATTTGGAATTATTCCAGCACGGAACGTTTCAAAGTGTGCTGCGATAATGCTTCTTTAAAAATGTGCGTAGGTTGGAAAAGTATCTTCAGCGATGAAGATCATTGGAATTATGTTGAAAATACCTCTCGTGTAAGCGCAAAAAGAAACTGAACCGCATTACTAATTCAAATAAATTATTGTCAAAGCAGAGCCCCTCTGACGATGACAATATTTATAATATAATTTACTCACTGGTTTCCATCGGGGGGAATGTTATCTGTAGATAGGAATAACCAAAAAAAAAAAAAAATCAAACCAGAAACAAAAGTCTTTATCGGTTTCTGTTATTATTACCTTCCTTTCCCACCTGGATTCATTGAAAAAGTGCAGCTTGAACTTTCGCTTTTTTTTCTCCGATTGATGTACTTTAACCCGCACAAAAGAAACTCATAACAAAGTAGAATCACCTCTTAATTCGATGTTTGAGTGGCACGGTGTAAAGAAATAAAAAAAAAGAAGGAACCTTTGCTTTCGAAACGTAAATGTGCATTCTGGACAATCAACAATAATGTTTAGTTTTAATCTCGACGAATAAATTGTTTAGTTTACTAGCATACCACAAGAAAAATATTTCAATTTTGCTTCAGGTGCTGAACTAACAGGCTACAACACACTCACTGCAACTGATCGTAACGTTTACCCTAATCAGTATTGAACCCGACCGTGCCCATATTGGTATCTTGAACCAACAACGTGGTATAAAAGCACATGTGAGTTTATGGTTACTCTAACATATTATGATGTTAATATTCGGCGTCCCCATTAGTCAGCGCTAAGTGACAGAAAAAGCATTGTTAAAAAATGTCTTTGTACAATCAAACACTATAAAAGAAAGCTTGAGGTTCCTACGTTGGTCAAATGTCTTAGCTTGGTGACAAAAATCCCTATTGTTGTACGTTTGTGCAAGCCCAGAAGAGTTGAAATTCAACATAAATGCAGAATTTTTCAGCAGCTACGGTGCAAAATAACAACATAGAGGCAGAGCAATATATATAGGACAGCAGAGCGGCACGCGTATTTTTTATTCACAAGACGAATGGGGCCAAGTCATGAATAATTCAGTACTTTCGATCCGGCCAGTATGTTCATTCATGAGAACAAAACAATTACGTCAAGAGCATTGTTGTTATTTAGTCAACCAGTTACATTAAAGCACAGTAGTCTAGTGGAAAACGAGATAAGCTATGGATACAAAGAACCCTAGTTTGAATCCATATCGCTGCTGATCAATTTCATTGACTTTTTTTCTAAAATAATATATTATAAATTATTTTTTTATTGAAGAAAAATAGAGAACGAGAACAGAAGAGAGTATTGCAATGGTTCCAAGGAAAAGCTGAGTATGCATGACTTGGCCCATCCCTCCTATGAAACAACAATACGCGAGCGGCACATCAGCAGTGATTTCAGTATATACCCTGCCCAATTTGCGACAGAGGGGCACCTATATGCACATTACGTGGTGAACACAATGACCAACACAAACGAGAAGGGGGCCCCCTGCCAATATTTTGCTACATCGGTGTCAGTAACAACAGAGCAGCAGCTACTGACTGTAAGTATCAAATTTGTGGATTAGTGGTACGATGACAGTATCAAAAGTAGAGATTGCAATAAACACGGTTCGCAATGAACTTACTCTTCCAGCGTCTCCAGAAAACGATCGCCGCAACAAGAACCAGCAAGAGTGCCACCGTGACACCGACCGCAATTAAGATCAACGTCAACTGACTCTGTTTCCATGGGTCTGAAAATGAATTTAGAAAAAAAACACGTTTTAACAGTCTGATAGTCAATAATCGTTACTATGTAAATGATGCGTTTGAAATTCCTGCAATAGTTATACAATTTTGACGCCTTAAATTGACTACAAAGGCAAACATAACAGTCGAAAAGTTTAAAGTCCAGACATGGCTACGAATATCCTTTTTATTATCGCCGCAGTTTTGTTCCTTTATAAAACTTTGCTAGTGTGTGTTTAGCTTGTCGTAGTGTACAAGCATGACATTCATTGTGTGGACTTCCAGACAACAGAGGTCCACATAAACCAGATAGCAGCGACGTTGTGTGGACTTGCCCATGTCCACACAATATTTTCCCCTCTCTGAAAAACAGGTTTATAGCCATTTGGGGTTAGGTTTATCCGTGGCAAAATAAAAAGAAACACTTAAGGCAATCGCAGAAAAAAATGGGTTGGAAGTGTTTTCAGTGTGAGTGAAATGTTGGTTTTTTTAAAGGTTTTTTTCTTAACTTCACGAAAAACAAAGAATGTCCACACAATGTAAAGTAAACATGTTTGTGAAGCAGTGTGCTTTAACAAATCTGTCAGAACACAGTTTCAGTAAGCTCTAATAGCGTATGGTCAATAGTATATTGTATGTGTTTGAATTGGGTTTCAAATAGGCAAAATTTACTGGTAAAAACAAACCAAGTCTTTCTTTAACTACTGATATTTATTGATAACAGCGGGTGTTTTTCTTTAAAGCTTGATGAAAATGAAACTACAGTGTATAAAAAAGTTAATATCTGTGTGCTTCAGATATCCTTCCAGAAACACTCCCACGAACAAGGGTGGATGGAATTTTAATGCAAATGTAAACACTAACCAACAAAGTACATACGGTACTATCCAGGATTTTCAAAAAGGGGGGGCACAAAAACTTTGTGCGCGTTGCACACATAACGAGACTGAAGCGCGAAATCCCTTGCGGGCAGGGTTGAGGGCACTGGAAGCTCTACGATTCTAGATGTTCTCTCCTACATCATGAGTACTTTAAGCCATTAAGAGCAAAATTCACAATGTTTATTTTTTACTTTTAATAACACTATTTTTGCCTATCAAATATAGAATTTAAAGTCACTGTTGATATAAGTTGAAAATGAACCCCAAAATTAGAAGGT